AGTAACGATAGATACAGATAGATCGTACAGCTACTCAGCATGAAGGAGAGATTTGCGCCAAGAAGAGTTGTGCCGAAGCGCCGAGATTAGCGTGGGACAGAACTTTTGTGAGGCACCTCCGTAGAGACCATAGCCATAGAGAATTCAATTGGGTTTGATTAATCTATCTAAAGTAATGACACACTGGTAAAATGGTATATGCCAGAAAAGAGAGAAAAAAAAGGTTCCCATTTCCCACAACCCTATTGAACAACACAAACTCCCAAGTTTAAACAGCCCAAGCTAGAAAAAAAAGAGTAACAAACTCCTCGTACACCGATCCCGATGCACCAAAAAATGCTAAAGTCCCCTTGTTTAACCGAGTAATGCAATAGTAATGCACCGATGCGAGAAGAACAGGAAGAAAGAAGACAAGACAAGACAAGATGAGAGAAGAAGAACGCCTCCCAATGAGCTTTGCCTTTGCCACGACCCAGATGAACAAGATGCATGCGCCGCCCATTGCTCCCTCATCACCAAATTTCAAATTCGTATTCTCATGTCCAGGTCATAATGGTGGGTGAACAATCGTATTGCCCGTCATACCAGGCCACGATTGGTGGTGTCGCGCTCTACGCAGACTTGGGATGTTGCTCCACAAGCCACTCCATGACGCTCTCATAGCAGAGCACAAACTGTCGCAAACTCTGCACCATGCTGAGGCGCTGCAGACGGAAATCTTCAACCGTCTTGGCAATCAGGTCAATGTCTTCGTTGTTGACCCATTCGTCGTCTTTTACTTCCTTTTCGGATGTTTTGTTGTTGGAGTTGTTATTGGTCTGCTTCGCATGGCGAGCTTGTCGTTGCCGCTTAAGCATGTCCAGGACCGAGTCTACGGTGCAGAATGTGCCGGTACGTCCACACCCGGCAGAGCAGTGTACAAGAATAGGGCGTGTGTTAGGCGGGTCGGGCTGTGAAGGTGAGCCTCCGTTGACGGAGCGCACGACAGCATCTGTTTGCTCAACCAAACCCAAAAGATGGGCGGGATGGGCTGGCGCGCCAAAATCGGGCCAGTGAGAATATTGGAGCTGAGTAATCTCACGCATGCGCGCAAATGGCTCGTCATCGTTTGAGAGAGTGAATTTGCGGACAGTGACGTACGGCTGCTCCTGACTAGTGGGTGCGGCGGTTGCTTCCGCAGTGAAGTTGGCAAGCCTGGGCGGGTTGGTTGACCGGCGCTGGCCGATTGGTGGTCTGGACTGTTCCCTGTGACGGTGGATCTTGGATGGCTCTAGAGATGCCTTGCGTTCGCCAAGGCTTTTGAGATGCAACGGCCCGTATTGCTTCTCTGACCAGTAATTATGGGCCTTTACCTGGCCGCCTTCTTGCTCGGCGGTAAGCATGACAATGACACGAACGTCTTGCTGCCACACCACGTTCCAAAAGTCCTGAACAAACAATTAGTCAACTCTCTGATAGCATGCACCCGTGTCAGCAAACAACTTACTTTGAAGGTAGCCGGAATGGGACCCTGCGTTGCAATATAACGCTTGTTGGAATATGCGGCTTGGACGTGGTTGGCATTGATATAATCACAGCTTCCCTCGGCGACACCCTCAAGCTTGACACGCGTGTGCTCATATGGCCAGATGTTGTTATAGCGGTTCTTCGATCCCTTTTCGATCCCTGCGATTTGTATGTGTTCAGATGGGCTATTGCCCGATGAGGGCGCATCGTAGACGACTTGGCCAGACAGGGCCTTTTGCATGCGCTTCTGTTCGCGCTTTTCAATCTGCAGAAAACGCTCGGCAACGGTTTTGCCCTTGTCTTGGGGTTTTGAGGCTGCTTGCAGCCACTTGGGGAGGTCTTCTTGAACTGACTGGGTCATGCCTGTAGGCAGCTTCACAGGCATTTGGCCGACACCGCCGATCAAATCCATATTTTGCCGAATATTGCCAAAGAAAGGATTTGCCGCATTCTGTGTTGCAGGCATGGGGCAGCCGCCAATAACAGGTGCGACAGCCGGCAGATCAGAGTTGAGGCTGAGAGCAGCTGTTCCAGACGTTGGACTTCCCGAGCCCTGAGACGTGATCCAAGACGGGAATCTTGCCGAGAATTCCTGGAATCCCCCACGAATGATGAACGTACCACCGGACCATCCCTCCGTGGTGAACTTTTTGAGAGTATTGACGCACGCCGTTGCATCCTTGAGCTGCGAGGAATTGGCGTCGTAAACAATGATGTGCTTACAGCTTCTCCAACGTTCGAAACGCTCCTTTTGGTCGTCTTGTTTGAATGTTTCGGCAAGTTTTTGGACATTGAAAGACGCGCGCTTGAGCAAGGTCGTGGGAATACATAAACTCAGGGCGCCCGTGATGCGAGATTTTGCGTATTGCGTCGAAACACGGAGATCGAGGAGAAGGACTTCTTCGACTGAAGATTGCAATATGTTGACAACGTGCTGGGGGGACGTCATGGTAGGTCCATCGGTGCCAGATCCTTCCTCAAAAGTTGCAGGCAGTGTCTCGGAGCGGCTCGACTTTGAAAGGTGTGAGATGTATGATTGATTGTAGGGCAATGATGGCCGTGGCATGCGCGGTTCAGCAAACTGTGCTACAGCATCTGAGCGCCCAGGACCGTCGAAACTAGCGGGCGAATTTCGTCGTGGTCGGTCAGGGAACAGAGAGGACTCTTCGGACAGCATGCGCTTGGGGGAGCGTGGCTTGGGGGATAAATCTTGGTCGTCGCTTGTATCACTCTTGTTGTCGGTTCGCTCGAGCGGAGGCATTGATTGTGAAGACGATAGCTGTGAGGAGTCGAAGTTGGCGAAGAAGGAGTTCTTCGATGCAGCTTTCAGGCCGGGCGATGCAAAGTCAAAGCTGCCAAGTGCAAACGCGCGGTTGTTTTCCGACTGCTTCTTAAACTGTTCGAATTCCGGGTTCTGTTCGACAGGTATGATCCTTGGAGAGGCAGCGGCTGTAGAGCGTACATTGGAATTAGGTGGACTCCAGTTTCCGCGAATGTGCTGTGCAGCGCTTGAGGAGAAGTGGTCGGTATTGCTGACGGCAAGGCCAAAGTAATTTGGTGAAGGGGTGGATGGCTCCTTTGGCTTATGTGAGGCGACATGGCTGGGCGTCTTTGCGATGCCATTCATGCGAGGAGTTAGCGGCGGCAGTGTGTTGGATGAATGCATTGGGTTTGTTGGCCTGGTCATTGGTGTCGATCCCGAACCGCGGGGGCGAGAAGATGTATGTGAGTGTGAGGGACCGCGCGGGCGTGGCGACAGGACAGGTGTGGACATGGCGTGCGACCGTGCGCACGCGTCAGAACGAGGCGGGAACGTGGTAGGGAAAAGAAACGAAGCAACTTCAGGGCGGGGAGGAAGAACGAAGGGGCATGAAATTAGGGGAGGTGGTTAGGGCCAAGCAGCAGGTAGTAGTCGAAATGGGCGTGTTGAGCGGCAGTGTGTGGTTGAAGGGGTAGGTGTGGGTAGGGTGGGGATTGCCGTTATGACGTAGGCAAGGGGGGGCCAAGTGAGGCAAAGTGATTTGGCAGCACGCGCGCGCGCACACAGACAGGCACACAGACACGGTCGGGAGGGGCAGGCACAGGCCTCTCTACTCGGAGAACGGTTTGTGGTGCAACCGTTACAAGAAGGGCCTTTTTTTCTGGAGCAGTGCAGGCGGGTGGTGGTTGACAGCGGGCCAGGGACGACGGGGTTGGAGGTGACGCAGCGGCGATTGGCGTCAAGGCACAAAAAGTTGGCGGGCGCTGGGCGTGGGCCGAATGCAGGGACCTGTATCGAGAACGCTGGAGGGTCGTGGTTGAGCGAGGCGAGCGTGGTCCCGTGACTGGCGGAGGATAGGGCTGAGGGGCAGGCGGTAGTCGAAAAACAAAAAAAGGCCGAGCAGGGCGGAAGAAAGGCCGGCGGAGCGTGGCAGTGGCAGGACGCTGGGCAGAGGGCGGAAAGATGGGAGGAAATGCAGAGCAGAGGGAAATAGAGATGTATCGGCGATCGAGCATCTTATGGGGCATCGAGGAAAAGAGCCAGTTTCCAAGGCAGAGCGAGGGGGCTAGCTCGCCTGCGCTGGGCCCGACCATCGCAAGCTAAAACCGCCCTGTCGCCCCTGTCCATTGCGACATTGGACATTCTAGCGCCGACAGCCATGCCAACGGCTGCGAGACGCTCCTTGCACCCGCTCGACGCCTCCGCGCATCACGCCGGCCGTGCGTGCGTGTGTGGGTGGTGCGTGGGTGAGGGAGAGAGGACGAGCGAAGGCGTATGTGTGTGCGCAAGTAGCATGTGCGCGTGTGCGTGTGCAGTGACAACGACGAGACGACGACGACTCTGGGGGGCAGGTGACCCGGCGACGACAGCAAGAGTACCACTCTCAATCTTGTCGAGCAGGCAGAGCACAGGCGGCAGTAAGTGATGATGATGACAGCTACAAGCGGACGGCACCCGTATCCGACAGAGGCTTTGGGAGTTGGTGATCGGCCACTGGAGCAGCGTTTGGGTGCAGGCGTGCAGAGAGATGGGAGTGCTAGAGCATGTCGAAAAGGGTAGGTGGGGAGAGGGAGGCTCGCGGAAGGAGCATCATGGTTCGCCGGAAACAGTGATTGTCGCGGCCCAGACCTCGAGTATTTGCCTCGTCCGCCCATCTCTCCCTCTCTCTGCCTCGCCTGTCCGCCGCCAGACCGCCAGACCGCCAGTTCGTCACGCAGGGAACGTCACCCGCCAATCCAAAATGCCCCTCCTCGTCCCCTCGTCCCCTCCCCCACCCATCCCTGCCGCCACCACTGCTGCTCTCTTCGGCCCGCTCTCATCTGCTGCACATCCTCGCCCTGTCCTGCCCTGCCCTGCCCTGCCCTGCCCTGCCTGCCCCCCTAGCCCCCAAGCACCCAGGCCGGCCTGCACCTCGACAGTGCATACATACTTAGTACACACAAGTACGTACACATACTTACATGTATCTGCCTGCATGGCCCTTCTCCAGCCCCAACTGCCTGGCTCCTGTGCGTAGCCCGCTTGCGACGGTAGGGCAGGAAACAAAATAAAAAAGTCCGAGAAAATACCAAGCAGTGACGACATGATAAAAACCAACATCCAAGCCCGCCCTGACCTGCACCCGGGTGGAGTCTGAGAGATATTGCCAGTCACGACGACGACGCCCACTCGCACTGTGCCACCGACTCCAAATGCGCGTGACTTGCTCAACACCTCTCTGCCCTGCCTTCCCTGCCTTGCCTTGACACTCTGTCGCCGCCGCCGCCGCCGCCGCACCACCACCACCACCACCCTGGTGCCTTGTTTTGCGTAAGGACAGCGGCTATCGGCTGGACTAGTGAAGGCAGAGCCCAGCCCACCTCCACCACCTCTCCGTCTCTGCGCTGTGCCTGCGCCTGTGCCTGTGCCACCCTCCTCAAACATAGCCTCTGCACCATGCAAGCTGAGCAAGCGCCACACACTATGCACCCATGGCATTCCACATCTAACTAGCACTATACTCTACATACATAGCCTGCCCATGCTATTCTTCATTGCCATGCTTCATTGCCATCGGGAAAAAAGACGCAAATCATGCTGAATGCAAAATGCGCCTTCGCTCCTTCCCCCACAGACAACAAAGGAAAGAGCAAAAACAAAAAAACAAGACGCTGCACTCCTTCCCTCTCATGTATAATAAAACAAACAAAAAAACGCCAGGATATCATCATCATCATTTCCCCTTCCTGCCTCGACAGCACAACAAGTCACTCAACAGCAAAAGCATTCACCCGCTAGTCTCAACCGCTGCCCTACCCTACCCTACCCTACCCTGCCTTCAAACACCCACCCACACCGCTACATCTCCATTCTATCGCTCGTCGCTTCTGTCGAGGTGCTTGTCCTGTGCTTTGTAGACTTGTCGTAACAAATGAGTCCAAAGAAGCCCTCGGAAGTACACAATGTGCTGGTCGCCGTAGGTGTTGGCGTCCAAGTGGACGTCTGCGTTGGCTTCAACTTGGACTTGAGCTTGTGCTTGTGGTGCGTCTTGGTAGGTGGATCGTCGCCATCGAGGCAATCGCCAAACCAGCCTGGATACTTGCACGATGAGGTTGAAGTCGGTGCAGACGAAGTCGTAGTCACAGAGGGTACGGGCGCGGCCGTCGTCGTGTACGTCATGGTCTTTGTCTTGGTCACCTCATCCTTGCATCCAAACCACCCTGGCGTCTTGCACGTTGTTGTCGTGACTGTTGTGGTAACCGTCGTCTTGCTATGTGGCTGCTTTGTCGTGGATTCATCCAGGCATCCCCACCACCCCGGCGTTTTGCACGTCTCGGTTCTTGTCCGTGTGGTTCGGCTTGACGTCGATGTTGCTGTAGGCTTCGAGCTCGTCGTTGTAGTCTCGGTGCCGTTGCTCTCAAAGTACTCCCACATGAAGCAATCGGTGCAGTCGACATAGGCCTCGCACTTTGGCGGCGTGTCATATTTGAGAATTACATCTCGAATCACCTCGACAATCTTGTGTGTGCCAATGCCTACGCGCCAACCAAAGTCTCTGACCGTGTCGTACACGCACTTGTGTCCGGTATGGCACACGCTCTGCAGGGCATATCCACCGATTGTGCACGCACTCGTGGCCGAGTTGCACGTGCCCATGTATATCGGGTCTGCCGTGTGTCCAAAGTGAAACCCTCCCGTGTACTTCCGCTGCTGCAGCGACCCAATTTGATGGCCCGGTGGTACTGGCAGGCCCAGGCGCGAGGCTGGCATGGCCTCTGGCACCGCCTCAAACGTCACGGCTGGATGCCCGAACGTCAGAGACAGGAACGAAGCCACGGCACCGCCCAGAGAATGGCCCGCCATCCAGATCTCCGCATGGGGATACAGTGCCGTAACATTGTGGTACAAGTCCTGCGCCGCATAGTAGTAGCGGTTCTTCTCCCGCAGGGCACTGACAAGGCATGTCGAGTTGCACGTATACGCAGATGTTTGGCAGTCGCACACTTGGCGCCACAGGTACTGCCCGCCTTGGCCGCAGCAGCAGCTAAAGAACAAATTATCGTTGATCTTGTCGTTGGTCGTCGTCTCAGAACCGTCAAACATGGCGGGCGAGGTGCCTTTGAGGCCAATGACCACAGTCGAGTTCTCCGTGTCGGCGAAGATGTGACCTCGCAGGCCATCCGACTCCCACCCAAAGTCTTCTGTGTAGTTGAACCCCCCGCCAACGTCTTCCCATTCCCCGGTGTTGGGCTCGAGTATGTAGGCGTTGGAGGCCATGCGCGCGAAGCTGAGGACCGTCTCTCTATCCGTTACATTCGGACCCGCAATCTCGTCCATGGTCCAGTCTTCCTCTGCAAGCTGCACAGCTCTTCCAGTCTTTCTGCCCCATTCAAGGATACCATCAATCGTCTCTTTGCTCCTGTCTGCTAATCTCTGTATCGTCATGGCCTCGGACTTGATGCGCAGCCGTGGCACTGGCTCGCGGTCGGTCGAATGCGCATCGGCGGCCATCCATACTGCCGCCTGCTCAGGAACATCGAGCCGCCTGTGCAGGTCTGGATACTTGTATGTGCCACGGTGGAAAACATGCCGCAGCGAGAACTCCTTGTCACCGCTGTGGGTACTGGAAGGGATAGGCGACGGCGGCAGGATGGGTACCTCAGCGGCGCTACTGATGCATGCGGCGAGGAACGAAAGCAGGAACGAGGCCGCGATGCGCGATGCCGAGGCACACAGCGGTCGTTGTCGCATGGCGTAGGCAGGCAGTCGTCAAGAATGTCGTGCACTGGTAAGGGGAAGCAGGAGGAGACGCGTAGCAGCTTCAGGCAAGGAGCGGCGCCATGTAGTAGATATGCATATGTACTACATACATAACAGACACGCCCATCTATGACGATCCGTGGTTCACTTGACCCCAGACGCGCTGGTTGCCGCCACCCGCAGCCACTTGCACGTGCGGAGCTCTCCTCCTGTGCGGGGCGCGGAGCTTCCATGGACCATCGATAACGAGCTCGATGCTGGGCTGGTAGCGCTACTAGTCCTAGTAGCATGTAGATGGCACATAGCTTCACACGCCAGCCCGTCAGCCAACACCAAGCACACTCGCTAGCCCGACACCCCACAGCCACTCAAGCCATTGCCCGTCATTTTGCATATCCAAGTCGTTGCGTTTGTATCAAGACCAAACCGCCGCTCGGTGCTCTCGGAAGTGCCGCCGCATGACGTGAGCGTATGTACTCGACACAGGTTTCAGCGTCTTTCCCTTCGATGCACGCACACGACACGCCTAGAGTACCCTGAGACATCCTATTAAACCACCGTCATCATGACCGACCGCCCCAGAAACCTCCATCCCTCGCGTTCTTTTACTCGGCTTGAGCCTGCCTCTAAAAGCCCGCTATCACGAAGCCGAGCGAGCACACTGCAAGGCCCACACGCGTCAGACATGCTCGATCCGCTCAAGGCTTCCGTACTGCCAGAGGAAGATGAGAACACAGAGGGCGATGTGTTTGCTGAAAAGGGCGAGGAGGATGAGGAGCATGGGGAAAAGCAAACGGCACCAGACACATTCGAGGAGCTGCCCATAGAGATTCGCAGCTTGACAGAGCGGTACTTGCCTACGCTCATGTATACCGCCCCAATGGCCTTCTGACGCACCTATAGATTTCTCGAATCCCTGACTGCAAAGATCCATCCCACCCCACTGTCCGCCGACGCCCTCGCAGACCTCTTTCAGGACTTCTACGGCCGCGCCTCCTCCAAAATCAACACACACATAGCAACCCTATCCGCTCGAATCACGAGTGAATCATTTGTCGCAGATTCGAAAAAAGGCATTGCTCCATCAAGCAGACCAGGTTCCATACGGAAAGGAAGCGATCAATCGGGGGAACAGCAGATGCTCAGTGCCTCTGAGATGGCTGATCGCAAAAAAGCTCGAAAGGCGCTAGAGGTCAAACGGCTGGCCCTTGAGGAGGCTGTCGAGCGAGCAGTTTGTGAGAAGGTATACGACAGGATATGGCGCCACAGGAGCACCGACGACGAGGAAAGAGACCAGAAGCTCAGATCGAGAACAGCAGCTCTCTCACTGGTGGGCATTGGTCTGCAAGAATTGCTCATGACTGGGGAAGAATTGACAGAGGAAGAGCGCCAGAAAGCAAAGGAGAAGGAGCCCGAGATACGAGAGTACCTGTCAGCGGCGCGGGAAGACTTGCTCAAGATGAACGACGAAAAGTATCCCCTTGGAAAAGTACAGCATCTTACTGCTACGCACAAGTCGATTGTTGAAGCATTGTCTAAAATCTTCCCTGCCACATCATCTGCAGACGAAATTCTCCCTACCCTCATCTACGCACTCATTACTATGCCTCCTGTTCACTTGAACGTCATAAGCGATCTGAACTTTATTCACCGCTTCCGCGCATCGAGCCGCATGGATGGCGAAACTGCCTACTGCTTGGTCAACCTAGAGGCAGCCATCTCGTTTCTGGAGACTGTTGATCTTTCATCATTACGATCCGAAGAGGCCACTTCCGCAAAACTAGATTCAAGGCCCGCAACACCAAAGTCAGAGATAACACCCATGCCGTTGGGTCTATCAGATGCCCCAGATCTCATCCAGACACCCGCCACTCCAACTGCCAAAGCCATACCCAAAGAGCCATCAAGCCCTACAACTACAAAAGCCCAACGTCGCTTGAGCAATCTCATCCAGACGCAGACCAACAAGATAGAAGCCGCCTCCGACGCGGTACGAGATTCAATCCTAGACTCGGCCGATCAGGCCCTTGGGAGAATCAATACTACGCTAGACACAAGCTTCAAGTTTTTCTTTGGTGGTCTCAGAGAGAAGAACCCCAACGGCCCTATGCAAGAACAGCCGGCACTGCCTAAGACGCTAGAAGACGCCAGGAAACTGGTCAATTCCCCCACTCGTACGGAATCCTACGATGATATTCTGAGCATCAGTGCTGCAAGTTCGATTCAAGGTGAGGAACCATCGGATAACGCTAGTGGTAGAGGACTAGATGCAAAGATGGCCGATCTCTTTGCTGGCAAAAGACAAATCAGAGACCGCAGTGTCGATTCCACTAGGTCAGGTGGCAGCAATAGCGGACGACGTGTCACTTTTACATCTGCGCCAAATGCAGAAGAAAAGGCCCCATCGCCTGCAGCAGTCAAAACAGACCCTCCATCGAACAACGTTTCTGCCGTCGACTCTCTTCGCAACATGGGTAACAACTTCAACCCTCTGAATCGTTTCTCTAGTATGAACGTAATACCCCGCTTCGCACGTGCTGTGAGCAATAGCACCACGCCTATTCTCTCTTCCTCAAGTCAGGAAGCACCAAAGACATGCCCTTCGCCTGAGCCACTCAGTCGAACCTCAACAGCAGAAATGCCACAGCCAGACGAAAAGGGAGCAAAGGCGATCGCTGCATTAGATCAACTGAAAAAGACACCACCACCAGTAAAACGTTTCCTCGAAGCAAAAGATGCACAGGATTTCAAGTTGAAGGAGATTGATGAGCTTTTGAAGGAGTACCAGCGACTGGCTGGAGCAATGAGAACGGCAATCAACAATTGATTTATTTTCTGCCGGTGTTTGTACCGCGTATCTAGCCACCAGATTCTTGACAAATTCACTTATAGACATGTCGACCCCGCCATCATGGCAGGGAATGTAAGAGATGCGCATATTTGTCGTGTCAGCAGTGAGCCCATTTGAATGAGAGTCCTACTAATTTTCCTTGTGAAATGGGATTGGCGTTTTGATTTGCGATGCTTCTTCACCGGACCAATCACCAAGGCATGCGTACTACGCGTAAGCAAAATATCTTGGTCGGCCAAACCGGGGGTTACTAAGTTGGGAAGGGGCAACAGTGCGCACGGACGTGTAAACAAGTTATCACAACACAGGAGCAGCATTCCCATGCGCTCTTCGCACTGTTGCACTAACCACCCACAGGCTTGACAATCTCTAGTCACACAAATGGAAGAATCAATGCCGCCTCTCTCGCCAGAGAAATACAACACCCACTCTGACTCGATCGTCATTGACGACGACATCGACATGGCTTTCCACGACACGCCTTCCTCGCCCTTTGTCGCGCACATTGACATTGACGACCGGGAAAACGTTGCGCCAGATGCGGTGCACACGCCTATCAAGTCGCTGGTCGACTTGGATGCCAATGTGCCCCAGTCCGCATTCAAGGTCTCACCAGACAAGAAATCTGTCCTTAAAGAGCGAACGAGTCCCATGAAGACATCGCCTGTGAAAAACCTGATGGACGACTTCGAAGACGTGGGACCTAAGAGCAGCACCGCAAGCCCCAAGACAAATGTCTCTCCCGTCAGAGAAGCTACTACAGAATGGTCTGGATCGCCGCTGAGCAGCGTCTCTCGCAAAAGCCGATCGCCCTCCAAATCGGTGCATGCATCATCGCCGGAAACAATTCAGCGTAAGCTGTCATTAGCAGATCAAGTCCCCGAGATATCCGTTACTCCCTCGAAACGACCAGCTTCTTCTCCCCTCAAGGCACGTGTGTTGCGCGACAATGAGGGCTTGACGGCAGCTATGAACTTCATGGAGACACACAAGGAAAACACCGGGAGCGTTAAGAGGCAAAGTTACTACAATGCTGAATTCGAGCTCGACTCAGTCTTGGATAACACAGATATGCACCCGGATGGTCAAGAGGCCACCTCATTAGACATTGATGACACCTGCTTCAGCACCTTTTCCGAAATGCCAGGAATAGACATGACCAAATTTGCGGCTCTCAGAAAGAGCCCGGTGAAGGATGACGCGCTAGATGTATGTACACGATGAAGATCACCGTTGAGGCGCAACACTGACAAAATTACAGGCTACACCACGCCCTCGCGCCCAGATGACACCTTCAACCGTTCGTCGTAGCGATAAAACCCCCAGCCCCACACCCCGTCGTACATACAAAGACAATGACACTACGAATTTGTTGTTGGACTTTACTGCTCAAATTGAGTCCTTTTCGTCATCCCGCAACAGCTCCTCTGGTCGCGGACAGACATCGCCCAGCAAGTCTGGCAAAGAACCAACGCTACGGTCCTATTATCAGAGTCAACGGTCGCCTGCCAAGGGCGGATCAAATGTGCCTGCTACACCAAACCAAAGCCGCCAAATGCTCAATCTCTTGGACTTTGAGCTTCCTCCACCACCGACACCCCGATCTCTCCCAACAGTTACCATTAGAGAACTAGAGTCTGTCAAGTCTCAGTTCCAGTCTCAAATATCTTCTCTCACTGCTAGCTTGTCAGGAAAAGAGGCTGAGATCGAGGCACTCTCTAGGGCTATCTCAGATGCTGAGCGCCGTGTGGGAGAGGCTCAGGAAACTGTACGCGAGGAGCGTTCTGCCCGCGAGTATGCGGAGACACAGATGGTGGACTGGAAATCAAAAGGCGAGGAGGTTCAGAGGCTATTACAGGACGTCCAATCTGAGATGGCTCGCAACGATGCCGAACGCGAAGAGCTGTTTGCCAGATTGGCCGAAGCTGAGAAGCGTGCTGAAGAAGCTGAAAGCCGATCAGCTGAATTGGAGACGAAAGTCATTGAGGCTGAAAGCAAAAACGTCGACATGACTACGTTTATCAGCAATGATGAGGCAGGCGACAAGAAGATATATTCTGAACTCGAATGCCAGGCCGCCATTGCCGACAAGGTCAACGAAGTTGCCCGTGATCTCCATACAGCTTACAAGGCCAAGCATGAGAAGAAGATCAAGGCGCTCAAGGACAACTACCAGAGAAAGGCCGACGAAAGGTGCAAAGAACTCAAGCTACAGATAGTCGGTCTTGAACGACAGGTTGAAGAGGCGGAGAAGAAGCGCGGTGACACTTTAAGCAAGACTGCTTCTGATCAACAGGACAGCGATGAGAACCAAGGGGCGTCACCGTCGAGGCCTACACGGAATGCAGAAGATGCTCAGATGTTGGAGGCGCAAAGAGCCGAGATTGAGAACCTCAAGGCCAAACTTGCAGGCCTGCAGTCTGAGCTCAAGTCGCTCCGCAAGTCACACGACACTCTTGTGGAAGACCTGGAAGCGGAACGGATCGAAAAGGGTGAATTGGTAGCGGCAGCTGAACAGATGTTGTCCATGTGCGGCGAAAAGATGGAACAACTGCAGCAAGAAGACTTGCGTCGGTCGCAGATGAAGCCAGAGTCACGGGCTGCACCTCAGCCACAAGCTCAGGCAGCGCCTCAGCAGGCAGCTAGCAGTTATCAGCAAGCGGCCCCACAGCAACAGGCTATGCGCAACACAGGGTTCCTCGCTGGTGGCCCAGCACGACCAGGGTCTGCTCTTGGAGGCGGGCGTCCTGGAAACGGAATGGGCGATCGCGTAGGTGGCATGCACGAGCGTAGTGGGAGCAGCAGCAGTAGCAGCAATGTGGGCAAGCCATCTGGGCTACGGGCACCTGGTGGGCTCAAATACCAGAGCACGCCTGGGTTGAGCCGCAGCGGCAGTGGAGGCAAAAGCCGGCTGATGTCGAATATTGAGCGTATGGGAGGTGGAAAGGAGTAGAGTGCCTAGCCAGTTAGATGTAATGGTGGTAGTGGTGTTGGTAGTATTGTGGGGGTGGATTAGGTGGTGGTGGTGTTGGGGGCTTGTAAGAATACGTAGTGGGTAAAGGAATGATGGGGACGATGGATGGGATGGATGATGATGACGACATGCACACACACACACTCCTGGGTTTTGTGGTTCTTTGGGCCGGGAATATACGAAATCACGTGGGCTCATGGGATGTAAAAGAGGGAGAGGTACGGGGTGTTGTTGTCTTCGGTTTGGGAAGGTATTGAGAGGACGTATTGGGCACGGATATATGTCTTTGAGGCGTTAGTCATTGGCGTTGATTTGGATCCAAGTGTCGATTTTAGGCATGGGAGGCACGCGGTCTTATCGTTGCCTTTTTTTTATCATCTCTCTTTCTCTCTATCAAAGCTTATTGTCACTTCCTCACTTGATGGCAAAAATGAACAACACAGTAATACTGCCTCATTTTCCTGTTTTGATTAAACGAGAAATGACTCAATATATGTATCATTAGTTATGCCTTTTTTTTTAAATAGAAAAGGATTTACGTTTGACGTTGAAAATGGCAAGCTACCAAATCGAGGGTGTTACCATGTGGATTCGATGTTTGTCCAATACATGGACAAGACAAACAAATGTTTTTTTTTAAAAGTTAGTGTCGGGTTAAGCTACACTGTCCTTGATTGTAGTACACGTAAGTAGTGACTATGTGTTGTATCCAAGGTAGCAAGTATGTACATAAGCAAGCGAAGCAATTGATTGAAAGCGCATATACTTGTTACACAGTCGGGCCGAAAGCCGAAGCGTAGGTGTGGAAAGTATGTACTTTGTGTAGGTATAACGAAAAATGTTATATGCACACAGGTGGCATGGTCGGGGGTGTATCGAGTAGTAGTGTGGCAAGGGATAAAGTAAGGGATACATGGTTTGTTGAGTGCCGATCTGGTGTGTAATCTGACATTAGGTAACTTACATCGATAGCCATGTAAGTAGGGACGACGGTATATAAGCGTGTTGCGTGTTCCTCACCCGAGTGATTGGGTAGATTTAATATGGGGGCGGGCGGGAGGGACACAGTAAGCGGCAGGCCAGGCAGTGGATTGGTTCACTGATTCATATGTGGCTGTTGCAACCGATGTTGAAGACGTCATTGCAAAGTAGATGAAACCGTCACATGGCTGTGAAGAGCAGGCGCGGGAGAGTGAAGTAGCTGAGTCATGTTGGGCGATGGGATGTTAGGCTCTCTTGCATGTCGTCACGGAGCCTAAGAGCTAGCGGCGTGTACTCTATCAAATTGATATCTTGTACAATGTCGACAGCATGTACTTGAGTGGCTACGGTCGAAGTAGTCTCATTACATTATATCAGGTACAATTAGAACCGCACTTTCAAAGGCAACGGGCGACATGGATTGGACCAGGGGGATGATCGTCGTCAAGGATCATGGGACCCTTGGAGACGTTGTTTCACGTGGTCGGGACGAAATTTGGAGCTCATCTCCCGGAGTTGTGGGGAAAACAAAGGCAATTTGGAATCGGCCGAGATTCTGCACTTAGATGAGGTCGAGAGTATACTGTAAGCGGATGTTGTTAAAAAAAATCTGACTTTTGCAATTTCTTCTCGGTCGCCGGTGGCCGGTCGGCAACGGTGGTGGTGAGCGAAAACGTGGGACCCGACAACAACGTTGCAGGAGAAAAAAAGTTCTTCATGACTGCTGACTAGTGGATAGGGTTGTAAAACAGCGGCACGCATTCAACGGTGCCCCGCTCGATGGCAATATGCGGGCCGGAGGTGAGGTGAGATGCGAAACACGACGGATGAAGACGTAGGGCGACACTAGAGGGGAATTGTTTGGTAATGGAGGGTGGTGGTATGCCTGGGTAAAGTTTACCTGTTAGCTGGCTTTAGCGAGCAGTATGCAGACAGCAGTGTTAGGGAACGAGCGTGTCGTCAGTTGAATGAAAAGGCACGAGTTGAGCGTGAATGGTCGAATAGAGCAGAGTGCAGGCAG